CAGAAGGATAACTTGTAGAATGTGGTATCTCCAAGCACTTTATCGGGGGGGTTAGGTTTGATGACTCACGGAGTTAGAGCTTGGTGACTTCTGGTAGAGGCTTATGGTGGAGTAGTGTGCCCTTTGTACATTTATTGGAAGCACTAAAAGAGTTTTGTAAGATTGTCCAAGTAGAGCAAAGGAAAGGCCAAGGGGACAAGGGCCAGAGAGAGGTCTGCCAGTGGGCATGACTTGGAAGAAGCTGTCCTAACCAAAGAACTGTATCCTGAATATTTCTGATCCTGAATTGTAAACTGTTAACTTTATCAATAAACCCCATAATTGTGATTATTGTCTGAATTCTGTGTGGTCATGGTGATGAATGATCAAACCTACTAGAGAAGTCAAGTGTTCCATGGGAGGGACAGCTGGTGTCAGACCTGGTAAAGGAGGAAAGAGGGTGGAGGTGCCTTACCTCTACTTCATTGAAATTGGCCTTGGGCTGATGATGTGCTTAATTCTCCTTCCCCTGTGTGAAGTCAGAGCAGATCAGACACCGCCCTCACGCCAGTTTTGCACTCTTGAATTACCAACATGTGTCAAATTAGACAGATACAATCTGTATATTGAGAGTGGGAGGCTAATGTGGCAGGTTAAGGGAACTGGAGAGTTTAAGAAGACAAGGCATTAAACAGCCAAACAAATGCTAAAACTCGGTGTCTTTAAAAGACCTGAAACCTAATTGAGAAGTGTATAAAAGAGAGAAAACATACAAAATCAGCCCATGTTTACTCTGGTAGTGTAGTGGTTACGAATCAGGCTGGGAACTGCAAGGTCAGCAGTTCGAAACTACCAGCTGCTCCGCGGGAGACAGATGAGGCTTTCTGCTCCCGTAAAGATCTACAGCCTCGGAAACTCTGTACAGGGTCACTATGGGTCGGAACTGACTCGACGGCACTTAACAACAACAACAACAACCTCCTGATTACAGACCTTTAGTGCTTTGATCCTCTATCTTCTCCCCAAACATTATCTTAGTTGTTTACACATGATGGTGTGAGTCTATATAAGATGGGAACTTACATTTCTCACTGGCTTTTTGCAATTTAAACCTGATTGTTCTGGAACAAAAATAATGTATTTCCTGAAAAGAAAATTTCAAACATATGCCACTAGTGTAGATAGGGACATCCTGACAGCCATTAGCAAAGGGTTTCTGTATTCTACAGTAACATAGAGCCAATATTGTAACTTTATCCATAAGACAGGTGAAGTGGGCTATTTGACCAGCCAAGGCACAAAAAGTAAAGTTTCAGTACCTACAGAAAAGGGGAGAGTTCAGGTCCAAAATGGAAGGGAGGAAAGTGCAGAGTAACTCTTGGGCTAAGGCTGAAAAGGCAAAAATGAAACAATTTTTCTAGGATTGGAGAATATATTGGGGCATTGTTTCCCAAGTTTTATTCTCCTAAGTAGACTCTATGTTAACCATAATTATATGCCACATATAAAATAGTATTTATTCAACATTTTTACTTTATACCAATTAAATTTTTTTTAAATTTAATTGGTTACAGGTAATAATATTCATGAAATGGCAGAAGAAATATATAAATTATGAGTTTACTAGTGTTGAATTAAAATAAGCAGAGAGTTAAGATTTACATTATTCTGTTCAGTACTTAGACCATCTTTTGTTACACAAAGGTGGTACTCCTACCTTGTTTGGGAGAGGCCTTTAGAAAGAGGTGACTGCTTTTTGCACATATTCTTGGCAGATAGATGAAACATTTTCAAAAGGCTTTTCATAAAATGCTTGATTTCATTGTTATGAGGCCACCCCTCATTTGTGGGACAGAATAGATGTACCTGAAAAGGCATCAGCTGGTATCTCACGCTCTGTCCTAGATATGGGAGGAAGGACCAGGAATGAGGAAGATTCCATCTGGAGCAGATGGAAAGATTACAGCAGAGGGCACAGGCCTAGAAGTTTCCACTGCCAACGCTAGGCGGGCACCAGAACAGTGTGACTTGGTGACCTGTATGTCTGTCTGTGTCCCCCAGCAACTGTGAAGACAGGGCTACATCTCCTACATCTTACTCTTCATTGTCGGGAATGTTAGGAGGAATCACATTCATGTAGTTCTGTAAATAGCTTTGAATGAATGCTTGTGGTTTTTAATCCTTTCTCTCTTTTCCCTTCAAATGCTGATTAAGAGTACTTTTAAAAAATACAAAAGGGTTCAAATACACATCCTAGAGGACAGCAAGGAGGAAAAGCACTGAGGAATCTGGTTTCCACTCTGCAGTCTGTCCTGGGAAAGAAGGAGCTCTAGAAACAAGGTGGGAAAGCTCCCAAGAGGTTCAGTACACAAGTCTATGGGAAGAAAGGAAATGTAGGAAGAGAGAAGCTTCAACAGAGCTCGAGAAGGCCCAGTACAACTGCCCCCACCCTACTTCCTACTCTACTTCTCTTCTGTGAGGTGGTGATATGCAGTGACCCTGTATAGATTTTCCGAGGCTGTAAATATTTACGGGAGCAGAAAACCTCATCTTTCTCCCACGGAGCAGCGGGTAGCTTCAAACTGCTGACCTTGAGGTTAGCAGCCCGACTTGTAACCGCTACACTACCAAAGACCCAAACCCAGAGAGGGGAGATGGCCTGCCCACAGTCACACAAGTTTTCAAAGATAGAACTGGGACCAGACATCAGCTTCCATGTCCATCTCTCCTTCCCTCTAGCACTGTGTGTGGAAAGTAGAGATGGAAGTAGCTTCATCCGACATGTACTCCACTGTCATCGATATAGACAAATCCTAAAACCAAATAAAACATATAACGACATGACATAGTCATTCACGTTTAAAACGCTGTAAATGAATGGTTGCTATTGTTGTTCTTAGGCGTCATCAAATCGGTTCTGACTCATGCCGACCTTATATAGGGTTTCTGAGTTTCAGCTGGTGGGTTTGAACTGTCATGAATGATAACTAACTTTAATGACTGAATTGTTAATAAACTGACTTAATCTTAAACTATCAATAAGTCTGGGTCAAACAACTTATTTACAAAACTAAAAAGACAAAATATACATATAAAACGAATTGCTTGAATGCCATTGATTATTAGGCTGGATTTTCCAGTAATTCCAAAGAGGTAGGAAAATATCAACATACCTCTTAGTTCTCCATTGGGATAAGTTATGTAGGAGCAACTGCTATATTTTGTGAGAAGTAAGTCAGAAAGGCTGCTCTATGTTGTAGGTCCAGGAAGCGAGCTGCTAGAATATCTCATTTATAATAGGAGATGCTATGGTCCTCGTGGAGCCCATGTAACCCACAGTGGTGCCAATTTTATAAAGGCCTCAGGAATCAGCTTCATGTTTTCTATTTGAAAACTCAAGGCAAATGCAACCAGGATCCTGGTGGTCACTATTTTGCTGAACATTTAGAAATAGTTTTGTGGGTGCGCTGGTGAGATGCTCTGTGGTGTGTCCTTAACTGTAGCCTTTTTTGAGTGAGGAAAGGAAACTTAGATTAATAAGCTGTACAGTTTAAAGAGGAAAGGGTTTGGTGTTGTGAGAGGAGTCCCTGGCTGGCATAGATCGTTAAGTACTTGACTACTAACCAAAAGGTTGTTGGGTCAAGTCTACCCAGAGGTACCTTGCAAGAAAGGTCAGGCTACCTAATTCTGCTAAGTCACAGCCATTGAAAGTATTGTAGAGCACAGGTTTACTCAGCAACACATGAGGTTGTCATGAATCGGAATAGAGTTGATGGCAACTGATACTGAGATAATGAGAAAAGCATCAGTAGACATCCAGGTCTCTAAGTCAGGTCTTTTCCACTCCAGATGGTTTTGGTGTAGGGAAAGTTAAGGATAAAAAAGGGTCTTTTCCTCAATCAAGAAAAAGAGCCTTTGGCAACCAGTTAGAAAGCCCCTTCCGCCCCCCTCCCCTAAATTCTTCTGCTTCTGTAAGTCACTGAAATTGTCCCTAAGGCAGGGCCTCTGAGTCATGGACACTTAACACAGAGAGGAGATCCAGGAATAGGATGCTTCTTGTTATCTGAGTACCTGTCAGGCCAATTAGAGATGGATTTGCATTTTGGTTAGGAAATTCTTGGACCAGCCCAGTTTTAAGCAGCTCCACTTCCCCCTGGGTGGGGCAGCAAGCCCTATAAAGAGATCCTTTGCGGTACCTCTTGCATCCTCCTGACACTCAATCCCTCGTTTACTTTGAGAACTTGGTAAGTCTGATTTCTTGAGTTCATCTGTTTATTTGTTGCTCTCAAATGTTTGAATTCAATCTGAAGATAGCAAATTTGGTGGTGCAACCAAAGTTACGATCATGGGTTTTATACTCTTTAGGTGATGGAGTCTGTAGACTGGGGCACAATCCACAGTTGGGTTTTGTCAGATAGCTTGATGTCTGTATTGAAAAGGCTAAGATTTCATTTGAATAAGAGGACAAGGTGATTTTTTTTTTCCCTTTTCATTTATCTTTGGAGTCCATTCTGCTGTGATTTCAAAGGTGATTGGAGTCTCCTTAAACAAGTTTGTTCTCTACCCATATATTGAGGTCTCATAAAAGATATTAGAGGGATTGCTTGTAAGATTGCTCAGGATTTCAGAATTTCTGACTATCTTTCATGTAAACATCATTAATTGCTGCTTGAAACAGATATTTCTTTGGTGGGAAACGGCCCAAGAGAAGAGAATTTTGCTAGAGTTGACAAAGCAATTTGCTGAAGAGGAAGAAACCAGAAAATTGCAAAAAGGGAGTTAAGAGATGAATGTATATCTTGGGGATTGGAAAGATATTTTTCAATGGAATTCAACAGGTTTTGGCTTCTCTGTGTATGATGTTGTTGTTGTTAAGTGTTGTCAAGTTGGTTCAGACCCATAATGACCCTATATAGGGTTTTCTAGGAGTGGCTGGTGAGCTTGAACTGCCAACCTTGTGGAGCTCCTTTTTGTGAACCCTATCATATAATTTCTTTCAGATTTCCAGAGACTCCAAAAAGATGTCTTACCAGCAGCAGCAGTGCAAACAGCCTTGCCAGCCACCTCCTGTGGTGTGCCCACCTAAGTGCCCTGAACCATGCCCACCCCCAAAGTGCCCAGAGCCATGCCCACCTCCAAAGTGCCCAGAGCCATGCCCACCCCCAAAGTGCCCACCTCAGCCATGCCAGCAGAAATGCCCTCCGGTGCAGCCACCCTGCCAGCAGAAGTGTCCACCCAAGAGCAAGTAAAAGGCTCAGGATTCATCAGGATCATGAAAGGATAAAGACAATTGGCTCATCTCCTTCCACAGCTTTGCCTTCATCTTTACAAAGCCAGTCCTGGATTCATAATCTGCCTGTAATGATTGCTGACAGCTAAAGTTGTTTTCCAGAGTTTTTGTATTGCTGCTTTCCAGGAGACAATGGAGAAAGAGCAGTCCTCGGCTGTGCTAGGAGCCCAAAGCTTCAAAGGAAGAGCAGCAGCACAGCCCGGCTCTCATCATCTGTGACCTGAGCAGAGATTTCCATCACTTGAGCAATTGTAACTTTCCTTACACTTCCTGAATAAAGTACATTTATTGAGTTGGGATAAATATTTTATTTCTTTTCAAACCTACTTTTGGTAGCAATTTCTGGTCTTGATTCCAAGACCCAGGTTCTCACAATCAATGTTATCTGAATTTTTGATCACACCAAAGATTATTTCTGTATTGTTTGGAACCTATGTTATCTTCTTCAATTAATCTTAGATTTGGGGGATCACTTATTCAAGCCCTGAAGATTTTACTTTCTCTCTTGCAAAGTTAGGAAAAATATTTCAATCACAAATCTGCCTTAGTTATAAAATTGAATAATGACTGCAATTTTGTTGGAAGAATGCCTGACCCAGAACTAAACAAACAAACAAACAAACAAAAAACCATTGCCATCAAGATTGTTCTGCCTCAGGACCACACCATGTGCTATAGAATTGTCACGTAGGGTTTTGCTGTTGGCTATTATAACTTTTTTCCTTCTTTATTTTATATTTTTGAACAATCTTCCCTATCATGCAAGTTAACACGTGTCTACCCTCTAGACATTGAATAATTCTTCTTTTCCTCCCACTCCTGGAATGTTTCTTTTGGGCTATAATCAATGTAGAAGCAGATGCCAGGGTTTTCTTCTGTGATGCCACTGCAGGGTGGTTCAAACTGACAACCTTAGATGTTGTGGCTTGTTTGGTGCTGTTGAGACTTGTGGTGACACCATGAACAACAGAATGAGATACTGGCTGATGCTCCACCATTCTCACCATTGTTGCCATGTTTGAATCCATGGTTGCAAATACTATGTAAATCCATTACATTGTGAGTCTTGGGATTTTCAATATCCCTCTACTTTATCAAGCGTGATGTCTTTTTCCAGGGACTGATTCCTCCTGATAACATATTCAGAGTAAGTGAGACAAAGTCTCGCCATCTTTGCTTCTTAGGTTAGTAGTTGAGGTCAAACCTTTTGTACCACACAGGGACCTTGACCCAGAATTTGTACACAAGAAGTGGTGGGTTTTGAGCAGCAGCAGCTGATGTGAGCAGTGTGGATCATCTTCACTTCCATGTTTAGTCAACCAAGAAAGAAGATTTCAAACTTTATTATACTTTCATACCTTCTGTGACAGTTAAGGTTTGTGTCTTTGATTAGTGCAGGATTCTAAGTGCTTTGGCAGTTAAGACATAGTTAATCCCCATGATGACATCCAATGTAATGAAATCACCTCCATGATGAAATCTGCTAAGAGAAATCAATCAATTAAAAGGACGTTTCTTGGGGTGTAACCTGTTTTGGATACTTTGGATATAGACACTTTGGTAAAGCTGGCTTGCATTATGTTGGGTCTGTATCCTGCATCTGCCTGGTTCTCTGACCTCTGGTTCTTTGGACTTGAGCCAGTGACCTGCTGTATCACCTGCTGATCCTAGCAGTTGTCAGCAGTCTGCCGTCTTACCTGCTGACCTGGGATTCATTCATTCCTATGCCATCTGACCTGCTGATCTTGGGTTCATCAGGCCCTGCAGCTATGTTAGTCATGAGAGGCCTCCAACCTGACATCTGACCCATGAACTTGGAACTTGCTTGCCTCTACAACTGTGTGAGTCATTTCCTGATGTAAACCTCACTGGTGTGGCACTTTAAGATAAGTACTAGACTGACTGCAAGGTCGATGGTTCAAGAATACCAGCAGTTCCTCTGAAATTGTATGCAGGGTCGCTAAGAATTGGAACAACAAAAAACAAATATGTATACACACACACACACACACACACACACACACACACATATATATAGTCGTTAAGAGCTATCTAGTTGGTTCCTTCTCATAGCTATCTTGTACACTGTATAGGATTTATGAGGAGCACCTGGTGTGTTTGAACTATGAACCGTGAACCTCATGGTTAGTAGTCCAGTGCTTATCCTACAGCACCACACCACAACCATATATATATGTTATTGTTGTTAAGTGACATTGAGTTGGTTCCAACTCATAGAAACTCCTATACAGGGTTCCTAAGGAGCAGCTGGTAGATTTGAACTGCTGGCTGACCTTTTGGTTCACAGTCCAATGCTGATCCTACAATGCCACACCACACCACTCCCTACATATATGGAGTCCGGGTGTGGTGTTAAAGCACTGGACCGCAAGATTGGTTTAAGCCACAAGGTTGGCAGTTCAAACTCACCAGCCACTCCTTGGAAACTCTATACAGGAGTCAGAACTGACTCTATAGCACACAACAACATACATATATATATGTATATACGTATAGATTTAGTTATGTTGTTAAGTGCCATCAAGTTGATTCTTTCTGGTTCATAGCATCCCTGTACAGGATTTCTGAGGAGCAGCTGGTAAACTTGAACCACCAACCTACCTTGTAGTACAGTGCTTTAACCCACAGTGCCACACCAGGACTCCTATATATAAATATATATACATATATATTTTTGAGGCTGTAAGCCTTTATGGGAAGAGAAATCCTCATCTTTCTCCTGAAGAGAGGTTGGTGGATTACAACTGCTGGCCTTGCAGTTAGCAGCCCAACACATAACCACTATGTTATATATATACACACACACACACACACACACATTATATAAGGAGCTCTGGTAGCGTAGTGGTTATTAATTGGGTTGAGAACCGCAAGGTCAGCAGTTCGAAATGACCAGTTGTTCTGTTACAGAAAGATGAGGCTTTCTGTTCCCGTAAAGATTTACAGCCTCAGAAACCCTGTACAGGGTCACTATGAGTTGGAACCGACTCCATGGCACATAACAACAACATACATTATATATACATATACATGTATGTATATATGATGTGTGTGTATATATATATATACATATACACACACACACACACATATATATATATACACAAACACACATGTTGTTATTAAGTGCCATCGAGTTGATTCTGACTTGTAATGATATTGTATAGGGCTTCCAATAAACAGCTGGTGAGTTTGAACTGGTGATCTTGCGGTTCAAACTGACCTTTCAGTCCCATATTTTATTCCCCAGCACCACACTAGGACTCTCTCCTTCCTTTCTCTCTCTCTCTCTCTCTCTATATATATATGTATATATATGTGTGTGTGTGTGTGTGTATGTACACACATATATCTTCTGGTGACAAATATATATATTAAGTCCTGGGGCAACACTGTAGGATAAGCACTGGACTGAAAAGTTGGCTATTCAAACTCACCAGTCACTCTTTAGAAACACTATACAGAGTTCCTGAGTCAGAACCAACTCGATGACACTTAATAATAACATGTGTATGTGTGTATATGTATATATAAATCTTTTGCAGAAGAAAAGAAATCATCATATTTTTCCTATGGAGTGGCTGGTCGAGTCACCTGTCAGTTTGTCATACTGTAGTGGCCTGTATATTGCCGGGATGCTGGAAGCTAGGCCAATTGTATTTTAAATGCCAACAGGGTCACCCACAGTGAACAGGTATCAGTAGAGCTCCAAACTAAGATTTGGAAGAAGGAGAGGTAGACCACTTCTGAATAGCCTCTGAATAGTTGCAGAACATTGTAGAACATAGTGCCAGAAGATGAGCCCCTCAGGTTAGAAGGCATTCAAAATATGATTGGGGAAGAGCTGATTCCTTAAAATATAGCTAACCATAATGACACAGATGGAACTAAGCCTTCTGGATCTTATTTTGCTGATGTGATACAACTCAGATTGAGAAGAAACAGCTGCAAACATCCATTAGTAATTGAATGTGGAATGAATTTAATAAAACTGAAAATTATGAAAAATGCAATGGAATGCATAAAGATCAATATATCCTAGGCATTAGTGAGCTGAAATGGACTGCTTTTGGCCATCAGACAATCAGATGATATACTATGCTGGGAACATCAAAGTGAAGAGGAATGGCATTGCATTCATTCATTTTTTTTTTTTAAGGTTTTATTACTTTAATTTTACAAACAAATTATACCATGCTAAATTATAACACATGGAAATATTTTTTTAAAAGACAGTGAGAGTGGTAGATTTTGCAATTTTATTAACTGTAATTATCTGTAATTTCAAACAATGCCTTATATTAATTAAGTATCACCCAAATATGTATATATGTGTGTGTGAGTGAGTTTTTAGAAAGCATCAGCGCTTCCTGAACTTTTTGAATTCAATGTTGAGAACTATGTAAATTAGCCTCATCCTGGTATTTTATAGCTCAATAAATTTGAACTTTATATAGAAGTTGGTAATTGCTGATCTCCACTAGTATATTCATGTCTAGAACTTTAAAGTTTATTTATATTTTTATGTTTGTGTGTACATATATACTCGCATGTCAAAGAGGGTTTTAATGAGTTTGTGAAACAATGTAATTAAAAGGTAATGGGATTTTTTCATACATTTTTTGAAGCCCTTCCTTGGAAACCCTGTATGGGGTCACTATGAGTCTGAACCAACTCAATGGCACTAAAAAATAATAACATATGTCTGTGTGTGTGTGTTTCAGTCAAATTCCTAAACCTAGACTACACAATTGCAGTTTTATGTATACCCTTAGAACTGCGAAATAATCTCAGACACATTGGCATTATCTGTTCTAAAGAATGATTTGTTATTTGAACTGCACTGAACAGCCAATTAGATTAAGTGGTTAAATGTGCTCTAAAGGTTAACAGTGTTGTTGTTGCTAGGTGCCATGGAATCTGTTCTGACTCCTATCA